TTTTGCAAGTTCCTCCAGACGAAACAAATATCTACCTTTTCGAAAATATAGGCGACGATTACACTGCACATAAAAATGTAAATAAAAGTCACTGTGATAAACACGATCCCTACAACGAGCGAGAGATCTGGGTCCTTCTCATGTACAACAATTTGACGCAATATTATGAAAATGTACACAATTGTGGTAAAAAATTCGAAGAATGAGAGGACATACCAAGGGATAGTTTCCCCCCTGGGTTTCGGAGTTGGTTGCCATGTCTCCCGATTCCACGCACAATCAAAAGTACGTATGTACATTGGTTATATTTAAATTCAGTTCTAATGGTACGCAAATATTTGACATAGATAGGTAATACCTATTAGGTATCCTGTGGTAATTAGGGATTCCAATCCCGGACGATTTTTTAAATCCCGGGAATCGGGAATCCCGGTTTTCGCCGTGACAAATCCCGGGATTTTTTCCCGAAATTCAAATATTACCGTATAACTTAGTCAAATTATGGTGCACATGGCTCTAAAAGTACCGAGCCTGAGCATATTTATAATACTTACATTACATATTACATAATATTTACATATCTACTGATGTGTGTTTTCCAAATATGTGCATTCATAAGTATTATTATAAAGTATGCTATTTTCTGGCATACAGATGATAGTAACACAAATTAGCGAGCATATTGTTTTGCCTGCTATGATAAATGCAAAATTTCGATGTATTGTGGTAGCTCAATTTTCGTCATCTATCTTGGAGAGGTGATGAGAAAAAGTTTGATAATTTCATTCCAGAAAACTTATATAAACAAACTAAATAATTAATCAAGGGTTCGCCACCATGTTAACCAGAAATGCACAAACTTAAGTTTAGCAGTATTATTTGGCCTAAATCGCGAACAATTATTCAAAAACTACAATTGGACATGGAATTTGGCAATTCAAAAATTTCAAGCTCAAATATACGAACTACCTCGTTCAGTCAAAAAGCTTTTCATTCAGCCTTAAATTCATCGACTAAAATTTGGAATCACTTGTAACGTTTTAGTGTTTTTGGGCATACGTGATTTCGGATTCCATAATTATGCCGAAAATACGGCGTTCTTGTTGCTTCAATTTAATATCTGACATCTAAATTAGAAAATTTTAAGTTCCATGTTGTATTAAAAATTTTATTTGTGAATTAAATACAAAATTTGGATGAATATTCGAAAAATACGGCTACCAATATTGTTTAGAATGTAAATTTTCGACTTTAGGATCAATTTTGACTGGTTATGCTCTTCAAAGCTTTTTCTTACCAATCATATAACCGAAAATTATATAAAACTGCTATTAAAATAGTAAATTACAAGTAATTTCACTTCTGAATGACAAATTGAAAAATCCCGAAATCCCGGGATTTCAGTCATTCAAATCCCGGGATTTCGGGATCCCGTTTCCCGGGAATTCCCGGGAATTAAATCCCGAAAAATCCCGGGACTGGAACCCCTAGTGGTAATAATGCCAAATCCAGTCTGCATTGTGGACTTCCATATCTAGATTAGAAAAATATCTCCTAATGACAGTAATGTGTAACTTCGGGCCAAGATTTGTAGACACAACAGAATTACGAAGCATTTGCGATGTACTCTCTTACATTATTGAAGATAATGTTACCCGTTTGAAAAGTAAATGCAATTCTTATTTAAGCAAACTTTTCTAAATCTAGGGAAAACTTTGCTGCTCATCGTCAGGTTAGTTTTAGTGTGGAATTAGTATTACTAATGTATTTACTTCAAACTGAATTAATGCATTTACTTTTCAAACGGAGAACTTTATTTTCAAAAATGGTTTTCGAATAGTCTAGAGAGAGGTTTCTACCAGATTTCATAACTCGAATTACGAGTAACCTTATAAACAGAATATATGTCAGTATGATGATCACTGTTTAGAAGTAGATACGTTGAGAAGAATTAGTACGAAGCTAAATAGTATTTGAGATGCATTGTGGATAGGTAAATACATATGAGTATTTGAAATAATAGTTTCACATGTAATGGCAGGAAAGTTAAATTACGAAAATTGAGAGTAACTTAGGCTGAGATTATTGACTGTCATTGAAATTATTGGTCGAATAAGAAAACCTTGCCACGTTTTACCGACCGAAGAAACGTATAAAGCTAATTAATCGAGTGTTCCATGTTCTTGGTATACATTTTGGGCAAATCTACAATGCTATAATTAAAGATAGCGTGTAATACATTACCGTAGAAAAGACTATCCCTCTCGACTTCTCATTTACAGAACTAAACCCTCCCAAATGCACTTTTAGCGCGTCACAACTCTCAATCTGCTCAGCACCACAGCCCGAAAACCTGCACAATTTCCACGCTTTAATAAAGCTCCTCGAGCACACTGTAACTTCCAGCAACATCGGCATCCCAAAGTGTGTCATGGACACCTCACTGAGAAGTAAGGCTGCAACTATAAACATCAATGGTATTGGGATCACTGCTTTCAGCTTGATCAAGGTGTAACCCAAGAGGATGGCCACAATCAGCGGGAGGAACAAGGCGAAAGAGGACGGATAGTAACACGTGTAATTCCAGACTCGGTTGACAATTTGAAGCTGACGATATTTCAGTAAAAATTTGCCGAATTGGACTTTTCTAAAGCGAGAAGGATTCAGAGGTGTTATATTTCTGAGTGAGATGGTCAGGAAAAGAACGATGTTGGCGAGAATGATGACGAATCCGACTCCAGCGGTGGTTTGTTGGAACGCGCTTGTAATTATTATTAGTATTCGCACAATTAGTTTGATACGGGATGGGAGAAAGTTAGCGTTTCGGAAGAGGAAATACGTCGGGTCCACGGTGTCCAGGAGGGTGGGGACTATTGCGGTGATAAAGGGAGTGGTTATGACGGCAAAAATTAGACCGTGAAGGACTAGTCCGACTGTGTCGTACTTTTTATTCGATTCGATTCCTGAAAATTAGTGTAACGAATTTTGAATAAGTACAGTATGAAAAATTAAGTATTTTAGATACTATTAATATGAGTTTGCAGTGATTCGCAACACAAAATTTGAGCCTAGTTTGCTTAAAACATTAAGTCTCTATAAATTGTAATTTTCTATCTCACTCTACCCTTGTAAAATATATTCAAATTTCAAATTTCTAAAATGACATCCGTAAACTTAAGTTTTCGTGTAAATTAAATTTCAAATTAAATTTTTGCCAATCTTTGCGAGTTCTTACATTAATTAGAAATTTAATTTGAAGATTTAAAAGGCGAATTGTGAAAAGTGACACAAAAATCTATGATACCTAAAGAAAAATAATAAATTAAGGACCAGTAAATCTTAAATAATACTTACGAAAGTAACTCCAAGACTTCCTAACATTTTGTAAGTTATTCCAAACGAAGCAGATATCCGCCTTTTTGAACATAAACGTGAGGGTGACAGTACTTACAAAAATTTCGATAAGAGTCACGGTGATAAATATAATCCCAGTCGCGATCGAAAGATTTGGGTCTTTTTCATGTACAACAATTTGGTGTAATATCATGAAAATGTGTACAATTGTAGTAAAAATTACGAAGAATGAGAGTACATACCAAGGGGTTATTTCCCCCCTTGGTTTCGGAGTGGGTTGCCATGTCTCCCGATTCCACGCAATACAGCCAGAGAACCTGGGAAACTTTTCAGTTAGCACGACAAATCTTTGTAGGGCCTGGAAAGGAGTGTGTGAAGTGATAATTACCGGAAATTTAGAGAATTTCATGGTTTCTTAAAAAAATACGATTTTTTAGGTCAAACTCTTTTGGCTTACATTTTCAAAAGTTGTTAACAACAAAACATAAATTCTAATCATAGAATTCTAGAGTTATATTTGAAAGTGCTTGTAGCTGAATGTCAACCAATTTATTATTAAAATTGAATTACTTCGGCCTAATTAGAAAATTTGAAGGGTAAATTATTAATGAATTGGAGAGTCATGTATGAATAGGTATGTACAAGTTAAAAATGTATTGATTAAAATATATACATATAAATACATACATATGTACATATAATCCCATCAGGCATTTTTGGCCTAATTAATTAAGTAGGTTTGAATGAATTTACAAGAATAATTATGGTAAATACTTAATAAGATTAACTTTTTGTATAATTGGGGTTTTTTGGTCCTGAATTAAAAACCCATCCTGATGTACAAATAGTTAGGATTTTGAATTATGCAATTGATGTTCCACTCGCTCTTTAATTAAATTAAGCAAGGTACAGCACACCATGCTTAATAAACTCCGTAACACATATAACAAACTCGCAGAAGCGGATTAAACACGGACATGGGCTGGTCGGAGGTCAAAATTCTTGACGGAGTTGAATTATTTATCCTTGAAATTTCCTATACATATGCAGAACGACGCCACAAGTGGAGATTATGGTTAAATTAAACTTTGGGCCACGGTTCAGTCTGGGTTGCCCGATTGACCTAATTAATTTATCTAATGCGACTGAAAACTAAAAATTAAAAGCACAATGTCGAAAACGGTGTTTGATTTTGTTGAGTTGTTCTGGCGACAACCTGCTTACGGACGGACGGACAGACGGACAAAACCGTAACAACAACTCCTTTGTTCCGGTTGTTAGTAATGCAATTTCTTGAATTAATTTATTCTGATTTGTTAACTCGGGGAGTAGTCGAATGTATTTAGTTGCATCCGTTAGTCTGTCCGGATCTTAACATTTTTTTCCCCCTTAAATATATATGCAAAGCGGCTGCGTAATTGTAGGGACAGAGGAACAATGACCCCACGGTTGTTCGGCGTCTCCAATCTTGCCATGTTATATAAACCCCTCCATCCCCCATCCTGCAATTTTAATTTAATGTCCCCAGATGTGCCCACGGCCATTTCTTATACATAAATTGTGTTAGTACTTCGAAATTGTCTACTTGATCAACTAAACGAAATAAGAAATTTTAGAAACTTGTAGCTACTTGCATAATTGGGAACTCATCATTTAATTTATTCAAATATTTTACTTATCTAAAACATTTAAATATGGACATTTTCTTTTTAGTCTTAATTTCTTCAAAGGAGGCAAGCCATTCTTCGCACACAAAGTTGGGGCAATCATTAAGTAATTTATATCCAATTAAACTTCTCACCATTTCAAACGCTTCCTTATCTCGATACTCAGAACTCACCCTGTACCCGTCATTTGCGTCCCGATGTGTCTCAATGTGCGTTAAAAGCATACCCTCATCATCTGAACGCTGTGCAGTAACCTTGTAGACAAGAAAACCAGTCCAACTCCGGTGAAAGTAGAAGGCGTCTGTGTAAACAAGTGACAAAAATTAGGTGGGAAATACATTTGATGCTAATTTTGTGAATAATTTAAAATTTTAGCCAATTTTAAATTTAAATGTTAATAATAATTCACATGTTGTAGCAAATAACAGATAATTTTTGCCCGCTGTACAGGTTACGAAATAGAGTTTAACAAATAACGGCCAAAATTTATGCGAAACAGTCCAAAATCAATATGCGTGCTTTGTTAGAAATCTGGTTTAGTCACGCAGTTAATGATTTCTTGGTTTAAAATTGCTACCGCTTGGTATTAAAATCATACCGGTCTTGGAAAATTTGCTACAGATACAGTAAAACTTTAATACCGAGCTACATATTTCACTATACAGTATTACTTATCAATACCACTTTAGTAGCGTCATGCATAGTATACATATACATACATATGAGCACGGTTGTGTATTATTTTAATACTGCATTTCGAAGAGTGCCGTCATACCATCGTCCGGATCGAAATATATGAACCATTTGTCCTCCATCGCTTCTGGGATGAATCCTCGCACAGCTAATTCGGCCTGTTCCTTTGTCAACTTCAAATTCAGAGGTGTCGACAGGATGACAGTTTTACCCGGTTCGAACCCCGTCACTCCCCAGGAGGACTTATTTGCGACGTAACGAGGTGGTGGATTCGATTCAGCCATGAGTTTGTACTTACTTATCACAAGTTTTACGCGACTTATGGCAAGATAAATGGAAAAAATTGAGATAGATGAAACTGATCCAAGTTAATGCTACGGGAATAATATGTAAATATCTGCACGTACATAAGTATTGGGACAATTTCGCAAAAAACGAACGACTCAATGTAACGTAAGTATGTATGTAGAAGTGAGAAAATAAACTTACATATGTACATATAAAATTCAGGATGTGGTGGAAACAAGTGAGTCATTGGTATTCGGTAAATTCCTTGTAAATATGCATCTACATATGTATGTATGGGAAGGTATGCAAATATTGTTTAAGAAATACAAAAAAACTACGCTCTTCTCATGATCGCGCTTATATGATGTATCTACTAAACACACATATCTAGGAAAAACGTCTACAAATACATATACGCATGTTCATGTAAATATGTACACATGACATAGTGGCATATTTTTTATGCAATAACTTATTTATTTGTAAATATGTATGTATATACATCATCAACTAACTAACTTAATTAACCTATGACATTAATTCTATTACTCTCTACACATGCAGCAAGATTTCTAAACCCACCTTAGCCTATCAGTAGCAACGAAATTGCATTATCAACGAAAAACATCATCACTAAAAGTTCATTTGATTGTTTCGCAAAGAAAAACGTGTAGTTCCAGATCCCCACCGGAAATGCGACCGGCTTCATAGCCTTCACCACTTTACGATGTAACTTTGCCTCTCCGGAAGTCTTAATTCTTTTCAGTGCCCTCGACTCCACAAAAACCTCGAGCAATTGTTTCGTCTGCGTGTGAAATTTAGAAATCGTTCCCCAAACAAATTTAAAAACCAGAGTGACACACATAAACATAATTGTGCCCTGTAACAGCAAAGTATTCAGAAAATGTAGCGTGTAACCTAACTATTATGTAACTCGCGGAAATCAAGAACGTGCAAAAAACCAAGAGAAACACCAGAAGCGTGTTTCTCACTATAAATTCAAAAATTGCATATTGAATCTGCCAAAATTTGTACCACATGATTAAAACGTGCAAATCGTATAATTCCCTAATTTTAGTGACAAATAAGGGTCCAATTTTCAAAACTGTGGTGATGCATTGCATTTCAGAAATTACGCACGAAAATCCTAAATACACTAAGCGACTCAATTCATACAATTCGGCTGTATTAAATACATAACAGACCAGAAAAATTGGCAACCGCATGATCGGGCCGGAGATAGCGTCTCCAAACACGTGTCTAATAATATAGGAAATTGGATCCAGATGCCAAAAAAGACGATGAGTGGGATTATGATGTACGAAGCCACCACGAATAAGGAAAGGATGACAGAGATCAGATTAACATCCATACTTTTTATTAGTTTCCGGTAGTCGACGTTGGAATGAAGTTCGAATTCTGAAAATTAAATTTGTAGAATTTACAGCAGCGAATTTATTTTCGGATAACATTCTCATCGGCGGAGGTACTTCTATAGAAAAGAAACAAGTTGTTATCTGAAAAGATATTGCCATATAACAAATTGCCTGTAGTGTGGGTGATCTTTTATTAGAGAGCGATCAGGAAAGAAAGAAACTTTCGAAAAATATATTTATTTGTATGGAAGAAAAATTGCCACTGACAATGGAGGCGCAAACCATGTTCAGCCCAGATTATTTTGTGACCAACTTTGTTTGAAAGAGCAACTCTTTAGAAACAACATTTGGTTTGGCACTTGCGCAGATGCGCAAAATTCAGCACGTTACGGGTGCCGCAAGTTCGCAAAAACGCTTGATTTTTCAGCCAACGTCCATGGCGAGCTCAACTTTTTTCCGTTTCTCTTGCTCGCTTTCTCACTCCCACGCAAGGACATTGACCCCACAACCCTTCATCATTCACATATTTTATCAATAATTCCGAATTGCTATATTTTTAATTATAAATTTTGGAATTTTATATGGTTTTTTCGCATTATGGTTGTACATATTCTGAACAAGGATTATAAAATGATTTAGCAACAGAAAAGGACAGAAAAAGTGATGTATCTTACAGAATTACGAAATTTTATGAATGATTCTAAAATTTATAGTTAAAAATATAGCAATTCGGAATTATTGATAAAATATGTGAATGATGAAGGGTTGTGGGGTCAATGTCCTTGCGTGGGAGTGAGAAAGCGAGCGAGAGAAACGGAAAAAAGTTGAGCTCGCCATGGACGTTGGCTGAAAAATCAAGCGTTTTTGCGAACTTGCGGCACCCATAACCTGCTGAATTTTGCGCATCTGCGCAAGCACCAAACCAAATGTTGTTTCTAAAGAGTTGCTCTTTCAAACAAAGTTGGTCACAAAATAATCTGGGCTGAACATGGTTTGCGCCTCCATTGTGAGTTGAAACGCGGTAGTTTTGTAGTCCATGCGATTGACTACCAAAATCAGAAAACCGGAAGTTGATATCTCGACTAGTTCAAAAATGAGAACAAAAAATCGAGAACAACTCGAAAAAAAGATTTGCCACTACTACGAAAACGTGTGCGGGCGCGTCCGGGTAATGGTTTATAGCCACTTCAAAAATGAAAAAAATTATATGACGACAATTTGCAGAGTTTTACACATGTATTTGGAGAGAGGGAATGCTGAAATCAAAAAATCAAAAAATCGTCCTGCTCGTGTAGCGACCCCCAAATTGATACGTAGACTTCAGCAGAAATACCAAAATAACCTTTGGATATCAGATGGTAATTTGGGCTACAAATTGAAAATAGCAAAATTAAGATTACATGACATTAAACCTACGAAGTTGGGGGTCAAATCCTATAGGGCAACACCTGCACCAAAGTACAACCAAGGTCAACAAAAAAGAGCAAAGTCCAACTCTCGGCAGATTGCTGAAAAACGAGTCAAGCAAAACATGCCCGTGATTCTGCTCATGGATGATGAGACCAAGTGCTCGATTGATCCAGATGAAGTCCCTGCGATGAAGTACTACTCATGTACTAATAAGAAAACGCTTAAAGATTCCTTCAAGTACACGCTGAAGTCAAAATTTACCACAGAGCACATAATTGGGCAAGAATTGGACTCATTGGGGGACGTCACAAAGCCGTTCGTGACCACAGCCACCATGACCTCGGAGAGATATCTGAACGATTGTATAAAGAAGATCTTGATCCCCTTTATCAATAATCGTAATGTACTTTTCTGACGGGACACAGCAACATGTCATTATCCAAAAGTTGTTCTATACTACCTGCGGTCGAAAAAAATCGATTTTGTTGCAAAATAGGAATAAGCTCCCTACGTCCCTCGGGCAAGACCAATTGAACGATTTTGGCCTTTATCCAAGAGAGAATATAGTCGTCGAACAAAATCTCCCAAAAACTTGGTAAGATTCCGTCACATTTGGACACACGCCTCAAAAGTGGTAGCGAGAAAGAGTGGCAAAGCACTTCTGGGGACCGCGAGGCAAAAAATTCTCCAGATAGGAAGGATGGGGGTCTATGGACCATATGAAGCAAAAAATTGAACGCTAAGGACCTTGTTCTTAACCCCTAAAAATGTCATTGGAATTAATTAAGTTTTCCGGATTTTACAGGCATTTTTAAAAGGTTTCTTTCTTTCCTGATCGCACTCTACTAAAACATTGGCATTTTGGATAGAGCAGGATTTAGTTTCTCAATATTTATGTGCTACACTTCAGTGATAAGTTGTTATCCAGACGGTAGAATTTTATGGTACCTCCGCCGGAAGCAATCGTATCCAAAAACTATTGAGAGTGTGAAATTCTTAAGAATTACGTGAATTTTTGAAAACTGCTACCTTTTTGTACATGCCACTCAAATTCCACAGTTCTCCCCCAGACTTGGACACTCATCTGGCCCAAAGCCAGTAATGAAATCCAGTAGCCGAAGGTGGACATGACGCTGACGATTATGACGCCCACCCACAACCAAAAACGAAAATCTTGCAATAGATTTTCTTCATTACCGGCGAGATAATAGATTGACATGGTTGATAACAATATGGCCAGTAAGCTGAGCAGCAGCGGGATGAATTTCTCGTACCAACGGATCAGTGGGACCACTTCGACGGTATGGATTCCCTTCCGGTATGAGAATTTATAGGGGAGCTGGTATGGGAAGGGGTAGTGGTTTATGTAAAGCAGTTGGACAAGTCGGACTACCCCAAAGGGTGTGTCCATTTCGAGCGGGAAACGCATATTTAAAAAAGAAGGTTTGAACGATTTGAACTTGGCGCTGGATTTCACATTCCCCTAGACGGGGTTTAACTTACCAAACAGGCTACAAAAACTGTCACAGTTTGGCTAGGTCAGTGAATTATTGACTTTTAAGCACGATGAATTCGCGAAGTATACTAGGATGTATGTATTTATGCATGTAGATATGGGTAAGCGAATTAAAATTTGCAGAGAATATTTTCAAAACTGATTTTGACATTGGAAGTTCCAGAAATCTCTAGACGGACCGATGTAGCGTAACGAAAGTCACCAGGAGAATAAACCTTCCCATTGTTGTATTGAATCAAGCTAGTAGAAAGCTGGGAGTATTCATTACATATACATTTGGGATTTTTCAGAAAGTTGTATAAACATAATCAATATTGGCTGGCATCAATAAATTTAAGATCAATTGTTTCTTGTTTTCTACTTTGTAGATAATTCAATTATAGTTTTCAGTAGAACGAATATTTATTAGAACTATTGACATTTAGAATGAAACGTGGTAACCAGCATTATACGTATTTACGAGCATACCTATGTACAAATATACAAAGCCATAGTGTAGTCTAATCCATGCTTTTTGAAATCCAATCCCATCCTACTTAGTCGTTTCTTGTCTTAAAAAACCCAATCTAGTCTAATCCGACACTCTTGGGAAACTAGTATTAAATCATTTCCAGTTGACGTATATTAATACCGTCATCGTAAATATTGAATTGAATTTTTATTGGCTTCCTTTTTTTGGGTCATAGGCCCATAAAGGTACATGTTCATGAAATATTGGACAATATTTGTGATTCGCGTTTTTTCCATGGAAAAAATATAAATAAAACTTAGGGTAAAGTTGGGCATCCTACTACTCTCTGGCTTGAAAATAGGAATTATTCGT